AAAACATATGAATTGCAAATCGTCTACGGCATACTAAGCGAGAGTTTACGGAAATACTGAAAAACACATTAATCACAACGCATGTGAAAGAAATACAAAATAGTTAGGCACTTGTGCCAAAATTCTATCGATCTTCACAATACAGTGTTTCATTTTATGATTCATATCTTCTGTTGCCCATAGAAGCAAAGGAATTCATAAGTTATGTTTCCATCGTCTGCCTATGCTTTTTAAGATAATATTCTATAATCATGCTTTATCGTAGTCGCATTCATCCCGTGAAAATTTCATACGGCGAAACAGTATGAATCGAACGCTCATGAGCTACAACTTTCTAATTGACTCTGTAAAATCCTGTCGTTCCATAAAAGGCATTAATTACAAATAGAAATTTCCTGCATCAACTGTACAAACCAGAAAGAAAATAGAAATTCACTTTCATTCTCATTATACGGAAACTAGTGATATAATTAAACTATGATTTTTATACGTTTATGACAAAAATGTGTAGGTGAAATAAAAAAAAACAGTAAAAGTATCAAAAGTGAGTATTGCTATATTATTTTTAATTTATTTGAATTATTAGACGAAGAAATACATTTTTTTAATGTCCGGTTATGGAGTTCCGGAATTCTTATCGTATTATACTTATCTCACTTTTGTTATTGTGATATTTTATAGATTATTGAAGTCATCAGAGGTTTTGAAAGAGTCATTGATTGTAGAGTTTACGATTTTGTACGTGTAGTGAAGGAACACGTGTACACGGAATCCGTGAACCGTGTATTTGCGAATTAAGTGTCTGTGTTCTTAATATACGCGTAATTATGCATTATATCATCCGTCAATCGTACATACAGTGTCCGAGTTGCGTAACAATTGCAACCGATGCATTTTTATTTTTCGATTGTTGTCGACTATTGATTACGTTTATTAAAAATACATACATATATATGTATCCATGTATCCGTGTATTTAATATTACACGTGTACTCGTGTATTTAAATTATGTGTATATATATTTTTTTTATCATTGTAATAATATATATTTTAATAATAATTTAATATTTTATTATAATTATGTGTATATATATTATGTGTGTATGTACTTTTACACACATGAAACAGAGACCTCTAATTGATTGAACATGATCCTTATGTGTGGGATTCGTTTTTACACAAAATATTAAATGCTACACTGATCATCTGAATCTGATCTGATCTGAACATTAAGTGTTGAGTATCTATTTACAATAGACTGGTAAAGACAAAACGAAATGTTTGCTCGTACCACATTGATGAACTTATTAATGATCATGACGTTTAAGGGGGTATTCTATGTGAAGTGCATGTGCCTTTAACTTTGTTAAGGGAATTTTTTGCAAAAAAAAAACGACGTTTCAAACTTTTTTGGAACGAGAACGAAAATAAAATTTGTGGCACTGCATACTCTCAAACATAGTCGCATTTAAAAAAACGTCGCCTCACGGTGTCCATGATTCCGGCCATTCCGCTTGTCTGAAATAAAAAAGACGTGAAAGCTCCCCTTAATTAGTATGAATTTGGCTATAGCAGATAATAGAAGAAAAGAAAAAGGTCGGTAATTAAAAAAGGTGGCGATACTTTGAAACTCGATGATCGAGTTTTGCACGTTTTGTTACATTTCAGAGGCCTAAGAAATAGGAAAAAATAACAATTTTTGGTTGATTCTAGTAAAGGCTAAACGTGTACTTAAAATTTGTAGTCAATTGGTCAAGTAGATTTTGAGATGTCATAGACATCATTCTGAAAAACATAGTTTCGAGAAAAATGCCTCCAAGTTTAATATATCGATAATGACATAAGGTTGTCGTGTCCTTTAAAAACCATAATTTCATTAATTTTAGGAGTTCGCATGTAAGGTTCCAGAGATGTATTTTTGTAACTACGCCCTTTTAGAATATGCAGAAAAAATTTATTTTTCAAAAGTTCACACTAGAATAAGCTCTTAAATACTAAATGATGTATAAATGCAAATTCCATATGCCCTTTCCTTTCCTATTTTCCTCGGAATTATACTTTTTTTTTAATTGGCATCCGTCATCATTTGTAAAAGTTAACGGGCAATAACTACTTTGTGTGTAACGAATAGTATCACACCATAAATCACATACTGCATACATAATTCAATATATTGTACCATATTATAATATATTATAATAGGTTTATATTATACCATTGACAAAGAGCACAGAAGCACTTAATTTGGCCAATTTCTACCAATATGGAGAGCTTTCGCGTATGTCTTGTTCTAGGACTTTCGCTTGGACATAAATATCCAAAAAATTGTAACTATTATTTAACCCTTTTATAGATATTCATAATTTTCTGCGTCATTCAATAATTCAATAATAATTCTTAGTGCATGTGCATTACTTTTTTATTTACAATATTTATTCTAGATCATAGAAAGTTTTGTTATTTGTTCACGAGAACATGAAATGTAATGAAAGGATAGTTTAATTAAGATTTCTAAAATGTGCTGCACTACTCAGACGCGTTACTTTCAAGAAAGAAAATATAATATTTTGAAAAATGGCAAAAATTAAAAGATGAAATTTTATTTAATTAGAACAAGACAGATTTCAAGTTATCTCATTTATTAACTGTATCCAGAGTGTCCCATTTAAGTTGAAATTGTAAATAATAATAATAATAATGCTTTAATATTTCGAGTGGGTCTAGACTAGTTTTTTAATGCGTGGGCGTTTCAACGTTATTTCAGGGTCATCTTATTTTTCTTACCACAAACCTATATTTTTTATTTCAGAATTATATTCTACGTAAAAGAATGTACAACTATTGTTTGAAATAAAAGTTATGCACTTTTTTAGGTAGAATATGATTCCGAAATAAAAAATCTAGGTTTAAAAAGAAACAAGATGACCTTAAAATAACCTCGAAAACGCCTACGCATTAAAAAACTAGTAGTGCCATTTGACTCCATACACGAAATATTAAAAGACACGTGTCAGTTTTTTTTTTAAATCCGGTGTTTTAAATCCGAACATTTTTTATAATCTCAACATAAATGGGACATCCTGTATATTCATGCCATTTTACGTTTCTGTAGCTTCAATAAATAAAATATTGTATGGAATCATGTAAATTCCTTAATGCACTGTTTCGGTCGATAAAAAGAAAAGTCAAATTGAATCAAATCTTCAGTTTATTAAGTGTTAGAAGAAGGAATACATTTTTATTTAATGTCTGGTTATGTGAATTTTTCGAATTTTTCTAAAGGTTTTACTGTTTTATATCTTATCTACCTATCTTAGACATAAATTCCGCAAATAAAAGAGTCACTAATTATTGTACGACAACCAGTAGATTATGTTAGATTTGAATATTCTGAAGTTGCAACTTTACCTTCACTGAGATATAAATAAAAAATTTTAATTAATAGTTGTGATGTTGAGGGAACATGTCAATCATATTTTAATGGAATAGGAAACTGCAGAGATCAATAATAACGGAAATGAGTTATAAATTACGACTATATAATGCCTTTCTCGACTAGAATGCATTTTCTATAATGAAGGTTTACATAACATTTTTTGAATTTTAATGAAACTATAACTTATAGAGATAAGTGATAATACAACTCAGATATGTGAATGAAGGAGAATACTTATCTATTTTCCGTCTTCCGGTTACAAAAAAGCACTCGGTTTGACATGTTTTAGTTGTAACTATCTCATTCTCTTCCTCGCTCTCATTCTCTCTCTCCCCCTTCCTCTTTCGGATAAACATACGCGTACTTATTCAGTCGTTAATCTATCCGCGTACACTCAGTAGAAAAAGTCTAGTTTTAAAACGGAATAACTTTTATAAAATTGGACCAACGACTTGAATCTTTCTTGAGATTTAGATTAAGTTAACTAAGCAAAGAGCTAAAACATCTTTTACAAAAATTGCAATTGGTTGAAATGCCAGAAAATTATGTTTTTCAACTTCTTTACCTGAGCTAGCAACAATAATATAAACATTGAGGTTTGTACATCTTGATAATTGATATGCAAAAAAATTTAAGTTTGTTGGTCTAATTTAAAACAAAACTGATTCAGATAAATTCACACAAATTTTTGTTACTGAATGTATGGTAACGAAGTAAAAAATCTCGCAATTTGGAAGTGGGTGGTTCCTGAGGTCATTTGAAGTAACTTTTTCCTTAGCGAAAATACAATCCGCGGCTTCGTTTACGAGTTATTAACAAAAAAGAGTGACCAATGAGAGGCGAGCTGGACAGCTGTAAGGTGGTCTAGCGAGCGCTTCAGCATCAATTTATGATATGGGTGCAACGGGCAGCCGTTTCAGTTGAACTGACACAGCTGATCGTAATATTTCTAAACAAATATGACTAATTGGTTCCGGTCACTATGTTTCCGCCAGTTCCGAACCTGGCGATCAGATCCCTGTACTGACGAGAATCCTTCAGCGAACACATTAGAACACTTAACAATGGAGTTTCAGATTACGAGTAATGCTTTCCGAGAATGTATCTCCTGACTAGATCGTATTTTCTGTCTGCATAATATTTCTCGAATCTTAATCGAATTATAACTAACAGAGATAAGGAATATCTAAAAAGATATTCAAGACAGACTGTTAGTCTAATTTAGAAAGAATGATTCGGATTAAAGGGCGTATGCATACTTTTACTATTAGCTGTACGCTAATGAAGTAAAACCGGCGTAATTAATTTCGTTATTCAGGTATTTTCGAAGTTTTTTCAGCGACATAACTACTAGAAGTTGTACAAAAGATACTCGTTTTAATAAAAGGACTCATCTTTTTTTAGAAGAAATTCCTGAAGGTCACGTTCCTCAATGCATGAACCCTTAATTTTCCCATAACGTCAAATCAAATCGTAAAAGATCGATGTAGGAAGAAAAGCAATTAAAATTGCAAATTGCTTCTTTCGAAAATGAAAATTGTGGTAACATCAGGCAAAGTTAAAATAAGATTTCTTTTTCAGAAACTGTGAAAAATGTGTCACAATGATACAACAAATGCTTTAGCGTACAACCGCTGTTCTACCGTTAGATCCCATTGTCAAATATTCGTTTGACAGTACGTGCTATGCAGCAGCTGGATTTGCTCCTCAAGTTTATCAGCACGTGCGTCTAGTCATAAACATACTACGAATACAATATGCATTGACAAGTCTGCTTCGTTGTGATCTTCGATGAAACAATTCCATTAGGACTACAGTCTCTTGAACTCATACGAACTACGACGTCTGTAACGAATTGGGCGCGAGTGAGACTCGCGCCCAATAAAGACCTATAAAGAAACTTATTATACATCACGTAAATTGTGTCTTGCCCTACATTTATTGGGAAATTAGCATTTTACTGTATCGTTAATGAAATACCGTGTGGTGCTTTGTTTTTAAGTGGATGGAAATGTACTATACCCCGCGTAACTGATAGCATTCCTTAAATAACACAGTGAATAAATTATTCAATGGGTTTATATACCGTCGACGTGGAATAGTGGCGTCAGACCACGCGTGGAGATTGTGCGAAGCTGATTTATTCGATTACCACCGATATGGGAAACTTTCACATATTTACCTTCCTAGCAGTGATTAGTTTCGCACTGACCAGTAAGTGTTCCACGAGTTTTCATTACGTTTCAAGGGCACGATGTAACAGCACTTTAACCCTCCGCTTTTCATTTGCCTCTTGCGTTAATGGGAAACGCGTTCCGCGAGTTAATTTACTCGTAATTAAATATCGATTCTGTGTGTAAAATAAAAATTTTCTACATCAATCGTGCGAAATGGAAACAAAGTAGAAAGAAAATTTTCTTTCTTTAAAAAACCCTTCCTTTCTTTAATCATTTGTATAGACTGAAAGCAATGTATTGATGCTCTACTACTTAGATTTTACATATCCGCTTTCGTTATGAAAACATAAAAAACGTAGTCGTACGAATAATACTATTTTCATGTAAGTATGCCGATCAGTGTGAGGAGTAAAAGCAAATAAAGCTTTTGCTCCTAGAAAAGTTTTTCTGTGAATGTATATTTAAATAACGTTTATAAAGTATATCGTTACGCGGAAATCACGGTTCGTATGTGTACTTCACAGTGAATGATGAGATCAAATTTTAATCAATATTGATTTCAGGTGATGCAGCCGGGACGCTACTGAATTCGATCTTCTTCCGAAGATACAAGTAACTAATTACGCTCGAAATTGTTTATACTCTTTTCAGACGAATATTTAATACTTTCATGCTTCTGGTTTTAACAGTGCTTGCGTGTCAATTGTATTCTAACAAAATTCCATTTTCAGAAATGGCACGCACGAAGACATCAACATCAATGATATCACGCTTCAGAACATGAAATTGAATTTGGATAAACTGACAATGTTTTACATTCATGGTTTCTCAGAAACCGTAGACAGCGAAAGCGTAGTGACAGTAACGAACGGTAAGCCATGATTTTTTATTTAAGTGATCCATTTCTAACTTTTAGAATTGCAAATATTGTTTACAACGATTTAGAAGCAACGTTGTTAAAATTAGTATTTTTTTATTCGCTTTCAAAATTTTTGGAAATACCCGAGTAACAATTTAAAAACTGGTAAATACTACTAAACTTAGGACACTTATGTCGCAAGAAGTTTAAAAGAATATCGAGTGATCAAAAATCATTTCGTGGTCGGGACATCGCATTCTACAAGGCTATAAATTTCATAAAAAGAATTTCGTGCGTGTGAAATGTAATTTTTTATTCTTTATTTGATTGTTAATGATTTTTGTAGACAGAAAATTGCAATAGTAGGCAATGATTGTTTGCTAACGCAGTTCGTAGATACGAAATTATGATTATGGCTAATAAAATGTGTTCATGTCTTTCTTTGAATTCCTTGCCACTCCGCGAGAGGAGTTCATGAATAAGACACCCTAATAATAGTTAATAAACGGTGCTGATATCTTCCGCGCACGTTGCGTTTGTTTGTTAAAGCAAATCATAGGAAAGTGGAGATATATTTACACTCGGAACTCAAACACCAATAAGATATACTGATGATTTAATACTAATGATATTTGTTGTAGCTTATTTGGCGTCGACAGACATTAACGTGGTTGCAATCGATTATCGTCAAATTGCAGGCGAAAATTACCTCGTCGCTGTAGCATATGTTGGCGCAGTCGCGCAGACTATAGGTAGCACTTTAAACAAATTAGTGGGGTATGGTTTGAATCAGAATAAAGTTCATATAGTTGGGCATTCTTTGGGTGGCCAACTATCTGGACAAATAGGTCTAGTCACCAATTTCATGATCCCAAGGATAACAGGTGAGTTATGCTGGTTTTATATTTTCGACATTTCACATTATTTTTCAAAGTTTGCATTTGTTATGAGTAGTATTAGATATGAGTTTATCTTGTAATTTGTGAAACGGTTTTAGGAATTTATTACAGAAGAACTGAACGCTGCAAAGCTATAAATATTTTACAATAAATTTCAGCGTACACAAATATTTATTGCATATTATATTTGGCAAGGGTTAACATGACACATACATTAATGCGTTTAAAATTTTGCTAGAATTGGAAATTTCAATTTTATAATTATAGGCAGTCCCATGAACCACGTTGTATACTTTAAGATCTTTTTTATGTTTTTTAAATTTTATACCAAGTTAAATGTTAATAAAGCTTATCAGTACGCAATAGAAATTAGTCTAGAACAGGGCTCGGAACGACAATGTACATAATTCGAAGATGATCGACGATAAATATGGAAAATAAATCTTAGAAACAATTTTTGATTTAACTGTCAAAATTTTATTAAGGAATATTCCCAATGTTCGGATCAATTTATTTGTGTGAATGTTCCGTTTCGAAGACTCTCTTCATCAATTCAGAGCAGTGCAAATCGCTAAGCGATTTATCAGTTAGTGACTTTTTATCTGTTAGTGATTTACTAAGCACGCTTAAACGTCCGCGAAAATAATGTTTTTCCATACACAGTGGAATAGGCCTACAGGGGATACCACTAACAAAAAAAAACCGCATTAACAATAGTACCTCTCAGTGATGTGGAAATCTATTGATACGAGCATCGTCTTTTCTTAATTCACCACGAATAGTTACTACGGTACGCATCTGAGAATAAAACATTGATCTTCAAAAGATTGGCCCTAGATCGGCATTCCTAGTTTGAATGCGTCGCAAACACTTTCCTATTTTTATGCCATTCAGTTTTTCTGAATTAAATTCCTAAGAATGAGGTCTCGTATTATATGTATATCGGTTTAATTACTTCACTAAGTATTTTCCCAATGATTACAAAAGTTTGATGAATTGTTCTCTCACAGGTTTAGATCCTGCCGGTCCTCTTTTCTATACAGGACGGTTTCTGAAGGTCGGCGATGCTAAGTTCGTCGACATTATTCATACCGACAAAATGTTTTATGGTCAAGTATATAATACTGGCGACGTAGACTTTCTTCCGAATTTTGGACATAGACTGCAGCCTGGATGTCCTCTCAGATTACCGTCAAATGGCACGTTGTTTTTACGAACAATTGTTTTCCTCGAAACGATGGCACAATGTCCGAAATATACATACTTACTTAACAAAATTAGTTAATTAATAGTTACTTACAAAATTGAGCCTTTTAAAACGCAATAACTTTTTTCAACACTGGACTAAGTGACTTGAATTTTTTTTAGATGTTAAAGGGACTAGTCTGTTAGACGATGACTAAAATACTTTTTTTAAAACTTTGCTATTACTTGGGACGACAAAAAAATAAAAACTCTCGTTTTTTAACTTTTTCTGATAAAATTGCAATTTTTTCCATCTTTAATTTTTTATAACTCATAACAATGTCAACTGATTTCGATCAAATTTTCGGCACGCATATAAGTTACCGAGATCTACGAAAGACATTTTTAAAATTTTTGTTATCGTCTAGTTTGGTTATCATCTAAAAAAAATTCAAGTCGCTTAGTCCAGTGTTGAAAAAAGTTATTGTGTTTTAAAACGTGTAAGCTCATTTTTGTGAGTAACTGTACAGCAAATGTTTATGAAAACATTTGTAAAATAGAATAATTCGTGGATGTAGAATATTTCTTTTGCTTCGATGCACTTTTAAATTGAATTTTTGAAGGAAAGCTCTTTATATAGTTGCAAATCCATTCAACTGTTAAATACTATCATTCACGACAAAAATGTATCAATATTAAATAGTAAAGTCACTATTTCATTCAGAAAATGTGTATGGATGATATGAGTACGTTTAATGAATAACTATATTGCGAATGTTTTTAATGCCACTGCTTATTATTTTGTATCATGATATTTTACAGATTTCTGCAGTCACCATAGGTCCTGGAGGTTTTACGCGGAGTCAGTGAGAAATCCAAATGGATTTTTGGGTATCCAGTGTGACAGCGACTTGATATTCAAGATAGGTTTAGGATGTAACCACACAGACGTGATCCCTATGGGGTATGCCACACCAACGAACGCGTTAGTATCATTTTAATCCGTTTTAGTTAAAATAATTTCTGCACAGAGTGGCCGGAATGCTTTGTGACTCCAAGGTTTTTAACCGAAATATATTCGTTTAATATATTTTGAATGGTACAGTAAGCATACTGCATTAGAACTGAACATATAGTTACCATTCAAAATTTATTTATTTATTAAATTCAAATGAAACTCTTTTGTACATTGGAAAAGGTTTTCTAATTTGGACCTGTGACTATTTTGAATCACCGCGTATCTTGGGAAAGAATTAGTTGATTATGAAAAATATTTATTATATTAGTTGATTAAATATTTATTATATTAGTTGATTAAAAAAAACAGTGTTAATGATGTTAATTAATTATGACATCGAATTTGACAGTTGTCCCCTACACATATAATAATCAAATTTAAATGGGCAGCCTCTATTACTAATTCTTTTTATGAATGTATAAATATGATTACTTTTATTTTTAGCAAGGGCACTTACTACCTCGTCACAAATTCCAATAGCCCATTCGCTAAAGGACTGGAGGGAACAAAACTGTAACTATCATCTCGAAGATTTGTTTAATTCCCTTCAAAATATATCTGTATAAATTCATGATTTGTATTTTAATGAATAAAATAAGTAAACGTTGAATATATTAAAACTCATGTTAAATTATTTACAACATACTGAAAGCCTTATTTCCTTATTACGATGGATATTTGTTCTTTAACAGAACATTAAATGATATGCTGATAAAACATTAAGTGTTCAGTATTTACAACAGACTGCTGAAGAAAATTCGTAACGTTTGCCAGTGCCACACTGGTCAACATCCAATGAACTAATGTTATACGATGTGACGTTGCAAAATTGCAATATAACTTCTCTGTCGCAAACAGCGGAGGAAACCGCGATTATGGTGAACGGGCCGGCCCTTCCTGGGGTCGTAAGGGGATTCCGGCTTCACAAGAGCAGTTCCCGAGGAAAATTCGGAGTCCTTTTGCCTTTCTAATTCGTATTTCACGAGCTGAGCCCGGCAGGGAGTTCAGCTCCTCTGTATGGCACTCCATGGTTGCCATTGTTTGAGACCGTTCTTTAATTTGCTGGCCACCCCAAAGTATCCTGCGCGCGCAGGTGGAGGACCAGGGTCGCTTCACTCACGAATCGGCAAACCCAGAGACGACGCTTCTCATCATCGGAGTTTCGTGGAACATCCAATTTCGAAGTCCTGTTGTCGTCTCATGCCGCGCCGTCAAGGAAGGGGTGCACCGAACGTGGCTGGCGTAGAGATGCCCTAAGAGAATGTCGGGGACTCCCCGATCGCCGGGGGCAGCCGCAATTGCGAGAATCGGAATCGGTATGGTATCAGGGGCCATCCATGGGACGGTCCTGCCAAATTTCAGTGTCGTGTAATTAAGCAGGCCAATTGGAGCTAAGTTCCAATAATGAGTAGGGTGGGGATTACGAAGGATCGCGTCTCTCGTCACCGCCGAAAATCGCGAAGTATCACTGTCGAGCGAACTATCGTAGCTGGGGGTAATAAATAAACCATTTTTTTAAAACGTTGTGTAAGTCCACTTTTGGAAAAACGGTAATTTTAGTAAGATATTGACAGTTATGACAGTTATGATTTACACACAGAAATTTACATACAGAAGTTTTAGCTATAAAATGTTGTCGCAAAAATCTTTTTTTAAAAAGTAGAATAAGTTCATTCCTAATACATAATCATTTATTATAATGTAATAAAGAATTGCAGAAAAAACAGCTTCATTTTGTATGAAACGAAACGAAAAGATTTTGTCTCTCAATCAAATCTCTAGAACAGGCAATATCAAACAAGAAAATCAATACGGACGGAGAATATCATAAACTGGTTGAAAATATGTTGGATGAGGTTTAAAAGGGATGAACTGCATAAAATTTTTTACAGAATTAATATGGAAGAAAATTCTTCATTTAAAGTTATTTTTTTATTTGGAAAAAAAGAAGACCTAAACATGTCAGCAAAATTACTATGTTGCCATTGTATACAAAGACATGATGAGTTTACTGCCTTGCATATCACCAATTATTTACCATAAATACTTCACTATTCTAAGTGTAAAGGAGAAACAAGTTTAAAATATAAAAAAGTTTAGTTATCTTAACGAAGTAATTTACTTTTCACACTTGTTTATTTATATCTTATTTTTTAATATAACTGAAATTAATTTGTAATTTTGGCAGTTGCTGAGGTGACGATGTTAAGGAGAAAAGGCGAAGGAGACATTTCCGGGACCCGCTAGAGGACTCATCAGTAAGGCTATCCTAGCGGGCCCTTGCTTTAGACGTTGGGATATCGGTAGGAAAGACGAAGTCTGTATATGTTCAAATTGAGGCGAATTAATTACTTACGGGAAGAGGAGCCATTTATTGGCGAGTCTGAAAGTAGCCGCCACAGTAATAAACTTGATTATTCGTATACTTATGTATTCATTTATTTTTTACATTAAAAAATTCATTTCAGTAAAGCCGATGTTTATAAATATATGGACTTCTCTTGTTTTTACTTTTTATAATATGTTATTAGTGAAAGTAGTATAAGTCCATTTGAAGCTAAAAGATCGTTTATTTTCTTTAACAATTTTAATAATGTGTTGCATAATAAAATCGATCAGGTTTATAATCTTAAAAAAAATCACCCGAATTGATTAGCTTTTGCCAATATTTTTAAATTGATTCTAACGCAAACTTTTAAATATCTCGATATATGAAAAAATGAACTTATAACACTTTCAAAAATAACAGCTCAAATATCGCGAAAAGTCGTGCCCCGGAGAATCATTTCCCTTCTGCAATCGTGGAGCGGTATGTCGTACTCGGTGATCCTTCGTTAAATTTTGCGAGGAGGCTTTGAAGTATGTGTGGAAAAACAAATTAGATTTCGAAGATCTTGGAATTTCGTGATCGTCGAGGTGTGTTTTGGTAATTGCAATTACGCTGATCACCTACTTTTTGCGACTTATCGTTTCGTGAAGATTCGTTATCGCGTACCGTGTTACCGTACAGTTGCCTACTCGAGAATTTCGACAACTTCGCGTCGCGAGCGAACATTCCTCGCAAGTATTGTAAAAGAACGCGGGTTCTCGCGTACGGCCTCGTGGCCAACTATGTATTTTGTAATTCTTGATACGATTGAAGATTGATCTAGGGCCTATTCTCGTGCCGTCGACATTTAATATTGCGAGATCTGCTTTGCTGTAAGGGCTACTCTCCGTTATTTTTATGTTCGAACCCTCTGAATCCTTGTTGCGACCGTTTCTTCTCGCGTGGACCGGTGTCTGACGGCCTCCGGAGAAATATTTAGCATTTCGTATGGCACCTTCTGACACCCGAATATCGTGTATCGTGCTCCGCGTCGGATTCCCGGAAATTGCGTTTTATACCGGTAAAGCGCAGTGTGCTTTATACTTGGATTATAACTTTAATTATAACTTAAGGGTCTTAAAGGTCCTGGAGTCGCCTCTTAGGACGTTCCCGCGTTTTAGGATTCGCAAAATAGAGGCAACGTTACAACGAATACAAATTCAATACATTCTGTTACTTATTTATTTATCGTACGATATAAATAGATAAGAAAATAACGCTTGGACTTACAAAACTAGAATAACGAACGTCTAATTAGAGTACTTATTTTAAAAAAATTTTAACTAGGTTATTTTGACTAGAATATATTTGATGATTTTAAGAGCCGATTGTCTACATTTATTGGTAGAGCTAGAAAATAAATCAATGTCACCGCTTTACTGAATTAATATAATTACAAATTCTGGTAATAGTGTCAAAGAATCTAAGGTCAGTCTTATAAGCATCTACTCTGAATAACCGACAGTTGCGCATTGGTTAATATTGTTGCGAATTTCCTTAATTCTCTGTACAACTCGTCGCGGCATTTTATTTACAGTGGTTAGTATAGGTGTGTACTTACGGTCATGCCTGAGCATTGGTTTTCCTATTACTCAAGCAAAAACCACCAAAATTTATGTTGTATTCATTCTATCATTTTCTTCTATTTCATCTTCACTTTTCACTTCCTAGTTTTCTTCCTATTATATTTTCTTTAATCTTATTTCTTGTTAACATCCGTCACTATTTATAAAAGTCAGCGGACTGTTCACAATGATATCCTGAGAAAATAACCGCAAGTGTTATTTTGTTGTTAAGTATATGAAAATTTCTAATTTGCATGTAACAAATAGCATCGCACTATGAATCATATACTGCGTAAATTATGCAATGGGTTTGTAACGCTATGTGTTCGGGGTACAACGGAAGGACACAGGGTGAAATTGCACTAGATTTTATTCGGAGATGTATATAAAATGACACGCGGTGCGGATGGATACGAGATGGAGCGCGGCGGAATAGTTAAACGTGTAGAGGCTCGGCGTAATGCTTAGACGAGAAGAATTTCAGTTTCTTGCCGCTGTTATTTATATTATGTCCCCCAAAAAGGCCACGCCTTTTTGGGAGACTCGCTGTCTTCTTTTCCCCCGCTTAGTTTGGCGGGGGAGGCAGTCATCGTCGAACCCTCGCTGTAGGGGCGCGCTGGCCGTTCGGCCGGGTAGCGGTACGCGGCCGGCGACTTTCTCCGCGACTAGGCCTGCAGTGCATGTGGCAGTGATAAAAAATAAAGAGACAAAGAAATTTCCGGGTCTTGCAAACGTCAAGGACGTTTTCTCTCTGTCGAACCCTTGACATCTGCAAGCGGACAGTTTTATGGTTATTACGGTCGCCGACCGTGTGCCGCTACAGGTTTATATTACATACATGGGCAAGTAGGTGCGAACCTAATTTGTCCAATTTCTATCAATCTGAAGTTTTTCGCTTGGACGTAAGTTTCAACGAAATTGTAAATATTATTTAACCCTTTTGTCGATGGACATAATTTTTTGCAACGTTCAATAATATTGTAGTGGTTAACAGTACATGTTTTTGTTCCTCAAATATAAATCCATTTCCGATATTTATCTTAAACCGTAGAACGTCTTCTTGTTTGTTCACGAGAATATCGGAAAAGTTGTTCGTAGTGGGCATAATAATGTAAGGATAGCTTAATTAAGATTTCCTAAATGTGCTACAATACTTATACTTTGCTTCGAAGAAACAAGATATTATATTTAAGAAGATGACAAAAATGACAAAATGAAGTTTTATTTAATTAGAACGTGACTGCTAATGAATTTACAGGAAAATACTGAAATTGTCGATGTTTTCGCGTTATCTCATACATTAGACGCATATACATATATGTTGTATATATATGTATGTAATATATACATATGTAATATTCTTAATGCACTGTTTTGATCGATAAAAAGTGAAATCAAATTGAATAAAATCTTCAATTTATTAAAAGTGTTAAAAGGAGAAATACATTTTTATTTAATACCTGTAAAAATATGGATTGAAAGAAAAATAATAGTAATATGAAAAGTACATAATTGTCTCAACGCCTTTTAATTTTGTCAGTTTCGTAATTAAGAATAAAAATTTGAGAACAAATTTACGGACAAAAATTTCATATATGTGAAGAATGACACGACATTT